TTTCCATCAAGTGACTCTGGTGACTTGGGCTGCCTATTTTTACTGCCAACAAAGTCACATTGGCAGATGGCTGTGTGACCTTGCTTGTGTCACCTGGCATCCATGTCTGCAGGAAAGAGGCCCCACCCTCACCTTCTGCTGTTCCCTAGAGGTGTTGATGAATGCTTGGGCTGCACCGAAGCACACATCGCCTGGCCTATTGCTTGCCATAGATAGGTCGTAACCCTGGCTTCATCATTTTTTATTGTGTTAAAACATGAACAAAATAAAATTTGCCCTCTTAACTGTGGTCATGTTCTACAGCCTTCCATGCACTCACGACATTGTGTCTGTCACCACTGTGCATCGCCAGAATGTCTCACCTTCCCAAGCTGAAACTTAACCAGGAATCGCTGACTCTCTTCCTTTCCAGGCCTGACTCCAGCCTCCCGCTCTGTCTCTGTGAGTCCGACCACACTGAGAACCTCAGATATGTGCAGTCACTCAGCATGTGCCCTTTGTGACTGGCTTATTTCACTACCAAGTTACCCTGCAGGGTCACTGTCAACAGCATCTGAGTCTGTGATTGAATGCTGCGCTGTCTTCACTTCACTCATCCTCCATTTAGTTCTTACCCAGTATTCCTTTCCCTTAAACTTCATGTCATAAAATAAAAACACAGTGCAAAAAAATGATATAAAATATGCATAACTTAATGCAGTAGTATAAGCCAGGTGAAACCAGGACATTACAGCTTCAAAGTCCCTGCTGCGGCCCCTCCAGGCACACCCCAGCTTTCTTGGCAGAGTACCCATGACCTATCTACCTAAAGGAGTGATTTGGTTTCATTTCTTCAGTTTTGTTGCACTTTCTCCCTACTCACTGGGTTTGGGTCTTGCCCACTTTGCAATTTAGGGTCTTTACGCCTTTTTAATCCTCAGGTCCCTCCTCCCATCCCTTTTTCTCCCTTAATTTGTTGTTAAAGAACCTGGATCTGAGGGTCTGGGGCATTTCCTCCAGTCCAGTTTGCTGGCCGCAGACTTGCCCTGCAGAGCAGTTTACCTTGCTCCTGTGAGCTGGTGGGTGCGCACAGGCTGGGGCCATACCCAGGGAGAAGGCAATGAGCCCGCTGGGAGCGGTGCATCCAGTCTGGGTCACGGTGATGTCCATAGCAGCAATTGGCTCTCATGTCCTTGGGGCTACAGAGCAGTGATATCTGCTCTAGCACCACTTTCCCTTTATTCCTGGAAACTGCTGAAGGAGTGCCCTCCTCCCTCATTGTGGTTACCAGGGTAGAGTCCCCACAGGCAGGACGGACACCCCATTCTCTCTCAGGTTGCCCAGCATCCTGGGAAGGAAGCATGAGACATGTGGCAAGTGTGACAGTGGACCTGCAGACTAAGCGTCCAGGGCCTTCCTCCCCTGTACCAGTGTCCCTGCCTGCTCACAGGGCGTCCTGTGAAATGAGAGGATTAAAATTTACTTCTCATGCCAAGATTAATGATAGTTTTATGCTCTATGAACTTACAAAGCTATTTTAGGAAGTTAAATTTCTGTTTCTCCCCAAATAAGACCTAATTAGAAAACAAACTTCAAGCTGGGTGTGGTAGCATGTGCCTGTAATCCAGAATGTTGGGAGGATGTGGCAGGAGGAAGACTGTGAGTTTGAGGCCAGCCTGGACTACATAGTGAACTGAAGGCCAGCCTGAGCTACACAGCAAGACTCTGTCTCAGAAAATAAAAAAACAAAAACAAAAAAAGCTTGAGCTGTAATTAGTAACTGGTCACTACAGTGGCGTTGGGCAGTGGCGCACAGAATTTATACCTTAGGAGTCTCTTGATTGATGGTTACTTTAATGGCAGGCTGAGTGGGTCTTGCATTTTTGATCTCTAGTTATGTCTTATTTTCAGGAAACATGGATGAAAAGAAAATAGATGGTAGAAGGCTGAATGTGCAACTCAGTGGTAGAGTGTTTACTTAGTATGTTCGTGGCCCTGGGTTCCACCCCCAGCCCTGCAAAGAAACAAATTCCTTAAGAAAAGAGAAGACAAATCTCCTAAATGTAAGGAAAGCAGTGGTCACTGGATTCAACTCTGAAGGCAGTCGTGAGTTGTTGCATTGAATCCTGGAGTCCCAGCGAGCGTTGTGATAAGGTCTGAGCCTAGCTGAGGCCCAGCTTCCTCAGGAAGTAGCTCCACGCCAGGCAGCTCCCACCCTATGAACCCCCACTTCCCGCAAGCCCCAGCTGTGGGGCCTGGAGTTCGAAAGTTTGGATGAAGGAAATTGTTTTAAAAGCTGAGGGAAGCGACTCCTATGTTTGAGAATAAGGACTATTCAGTATTGCGAAAGAGAAGAATTTTGGGGACAGTCAGGAAAGAGCATTTAAGATGTTCTTGGAAAAAGTCAACATGGCTTGTGGAATTGTTTCAGACGTTTAAAATGTGCTGATTACACTGTGGAATGAAATTCTAAAGGGCCATAAGGATCTCTTGGACTCTAACTTGGTTTTATGGCTTTTTATGTTCCATATATGGTATCTCTTGAGCTTGGAGGCCAGGCTTTGTAGCCTTGGCGTTTTCACTTGTTTTCCTTTACAATTAAAGTATGGGCAGGAAGAATGTATGCAATGTGTTAATTATTGAAACTATCCTACCAATTTGGTTTGAAAAAAAAGTATGGGCATTAGAGGCAGCAGCAGCACACGTGTACCGAGCAGTTCACCATGCAGCACCCGGATACTGCTGGCTTCAGTGGGGCTGACACAGGCCACAGAAGGAGGCATGGCCTAGGCTGTCTTGGGTGTGCTCTGGGCACCACGAACCTGGCAAGCCTGTTTCTGTGACTCTTAGGGTCCTGGTCCTGCTCTGAGGCGGAGCCCTGGCTCCTGCCTCTTGTTTGGGAGCTTTGATGTGAGAAGAGCAGAGAGCTGTACCCTTGTCATGAGGTGGGGGTGGGGGTGGGGTCATTCCCCAGGCCAAGGACTCTGGATCCCTGTGTACCCCGTGAGTGTGTGTGCCCCCTCCTACCTCCGGGACCAAGTCTTTATCCTTAGAGGGACATAAACACACAGCCACAGAATCTGCATATCTGTCCCCTGAGGTCCCCTTGCCAACTACATCTGTTACAGGACAGAGTGACTTCTCTGCTTTCCTCCCTTCCACATTGGTCCCTGTGGACAGGGTTACCCACCGTGTCCTGAGACTTCCTTGTGGCTGATGGCCTCCTGACAGTGAGAGTTCAATCAGAGCTTGAACTACGTGCTCAGCGACATTTTTCTCAGCCAGATGTGACTTTCTGCACCACTGCCTCTTGTTTAATGGCATTTTGGAAAGGTTTTCACAGCAGCGATGTGACATCAAATGGTGGGATGGTCTGGGCTTGGCCTCATGGGACCGAGCCAGAGCAGCAGACAGAGGGAGCGGGTCAAGGCTTCATCTGTCACTGGGTATGGCACTGAGGCTGCCAAGGAGTGCTTTCTTCATAACCTGCCTGTGTCAGCTTTTCATCACTTTGACAAAAATGCCTGGCAAAAATAAAGGAGGAAAGATTTACTTTGCCTTATAGTTTCAGAGGCTGCAGTCCCTGGTGAGCTGGCTGATTGCTTCAGGCCTGTGGGAAGGCAGCAATGGGATGGTGAGAGGGCAAGGTGCAGAAAGCTGCTGGCCTGGTAGCAGCCAGGCAGCAGGAGGAGCAGGCCAGGGCCAGGGGCCAGGGAGCAGGTAGAGTCCCCGAGGCCAGCCCCATGTAGCGATCCCTCCAGCTAGGCCCCACCTCCCAAGTATTTATTACCTCTAAAGAGTGCCACCCATCTATGATCTTTTCATTGGATTAATCCACTGTGATGTCAAGTTAGAGCTTACAAGATCCAGCCACCTTCCAAATGTCCTCCCTCTGAGTACCTGAGCCTTTTGGAGGACATTTTGGTTCTGAACCTTAACATCAACATGCACAAAGGCACGCGGGGCACTCCTTGGTGATCCCCTCTCCTGACAACAAATGTCCTGCAGGTTTTAGGCTCAGCCGTGGGCATCAATACTGTCCACATGGATCAGTGCTGTGCTCCGGCTACCACCCTACCCTGGCTTTCAGCAGCAGACAAAAGCAGATGACCACCTCTGGGACAAATAACTCGCAGAACTTTCTACTTGTAGCCTCCACCCAAAACAGGCCACATTTCCAAGTATTTAGTACTGCAGACAGACAGACAGACAGACAGACAGACAGACAGACAGACACAGACACACACACACACACAATTGTACTTTCTGTGCCTATTTAAAGTCCCAGTAGGAAGACAGGGCAGCACATAGCACAGTCTCAGTATCACTATGGAAAAATCAGGTGCCTGGAATTATTTCACCACTGTAATTATTAGTTTTTTGTTTATCTTTAGTTTTTCCCTGTGCTCCTGTTCTTTCATGAATTCATGTTTTGTTTTAAAACTGGAAGCAAGCCATGTTAGTTTTTCCTTTGCTGAAATCCAAAGCTAATCCACATTTTTTATAAACATGTTCTTGCCTCTTCCACACAGGATGTAACAGAAGAAAGGACCTCAGCAAGGCCAGGAGTTGCCAAGGCTTGAACGCAGGCATTTCAGCCTCTCTTGTCATAATTAAATAGTGCTGCTGCCTGAGCAGGACTGATCTAGCTGGTGTGACTCCTACATCTTACCTGAACGCCCAGTGCTTCTGCACTGGCACCATGGCCCCTTGACCTGTCGAGTCCTCCTCAGTAAGCAGGACCTCCTTCTCTCTGCCAGAGGCCAGCAGGCTTCTGCAGTGGGCAGTAGGTGCGGGGTCTCTGAGGCCACCTGGCCAGTCTCGGTTACCCAGTGCTCCCCTTCAGTCCGGCACCATGTGCCATTTGTCAGCCAGGCGTTCTGTGTGCTCCAGTGAGTCTCTGCTGACGAAAGCAGGCAGCAGCTGGCTCTAGCCTGGGGCTGTCCTTTGTCAGCCTCACCTGGTGCTTAATTAATGAACCCTGGCAGAGTATGACTGCTCTGTTTCATCTTCTCTGTTAGGAAAACATCATAGTACAGTGTCATTGTCCGGGCCACCCTCTGATTAATAAGACATATAATGTTGAAAGGTAAGTGTTATTCAAGATACAGTATAGATCTAAGATGTACATTAAACCTGGAGACTTTGCATTTGAGTTCACTAGGAAAAGGTACAACTTCTCCTGTTGATAAACTGTGATTATAAAGAGGCTGTATGTTAATCTCTAGGTTAATTAATGATGTCAAGTTAGAGCTTACAAGATCCAGCCACCTTCCAAATGTCCTCCCTCTGAGTACCTGAGCCTTTTGGAGGACATTTTGGTTCTGAACCTTAACATCAACATGCACAAAAGCACGCAGGGCACTCCTTGGTGATCCCCTCTCCTGACAACAAATGTCCTGCAGGTTTTAGGCTCAGTCTCATTCTCACATAGCCAGGTGGTTAGTAGGGCTTCATCACTATGACAGCAGCTTTCCTTGCACCTGGCCTTGGTGTTGTCCAAGCAGCAGATGGGAGACTTGGGAGGCTGGAGAGCTGCAAGGAGGGTTTGAGGAGCAGCATGCCCTCCTTCCATTACCACAGGGTAGTGAGGGGACCCGGTGCAAGTCTCTGCCTGCTGAGCCCAGCGTGGTGTCTGAGGACCCTCTCTGGTCCCCCAGTGGCTCTTTGACTTCATTGGCCATGATGAGATGTGCAGGGTCTCCTTGGGATCCCCAGCTCAGTGCTGGTCAGCACCTGACTAAAGAAAAGGCAGGAGCCAATGGAGCTCCCACTGCCCCAGCCCATGAGTCATGAGTTCAAGGCCTGTCTCAGGCAGGGCTGCCTGGCAGAGCTGGAGTGCAAGCCTACAGGGGACCCGGAGACCCGGTAGTACCTCACCAACCTTATGGCAAGCCTCACAGCTTCACTTGTCCTTTACTTCTATTGATGAGAAAGCATGAGCATTGGTTATGTTGGACATGAGTGTGTGTGTGTGTGTGTGTGTGTGTGTGTGTGTGTGTGTGTGTAGGGGGGCGGATGATGCTTCCCCAGACATCTGTAAGTGGCTATAAGTGGCTTGTTCCCTTTCCATTAGCACACGGCTTCACTTTGTCTCCAGAGTCTGTGGTCTAGCAGAACCTCAGATAGCACTGTGTGCAGATGTGTGCCCACTACTTACATCCCTCTTAGAGGGGTGAGTTAAAATAGCTTCAAGGCCAGTCATTACAATTCCATCTAAGTACTGTACACACAAACCTCATTCATGCTACAGAAGGAGACAGGCCATCAGGGGCCAGGTATCACATGATGCTGAGGAAAGCCAGGACCCAACTTTGGCGCAGTGTCTGTCAGTGTCTGCATTTTGAGAAGGAGCAAAGTGCTTTGAGGAGTAGTTGTCACACGGTTGTGCGTGCTCTGGCTTCGTGCTGCACTGCGCTGGGTACAGACTGCCGATGCAGACTGCCACAGCTGCTCCCCTTCTCTCGGGGCTTGGTTTTATACCTCAGAGTTGTTTTTTTTTTAATCTGTTGAAAATGCCAACATCAGATTGGGAAACTTTTCCTGTTGGGAATCAGTCTTCTATTTGTGGAAAACACAACTACTGGTTTTAAAGGCAAGGGGCATAATTTAGAAGTAAATGCATTTCTTTAGCAGTAAGTAGAACTAAGTTTGTATATTTAACACCACAGCCAAGGCTTTCTACAGCAGGGTATTTGGAAGAATCTGAATTTTGCAAAGAAGTCTACATCAAACTTCCTGAACAAGACTTATTTGTGTTTGCCTAGGTTCTGCATGCCAATCTCAACAGGATAGAATCTATAATTACCGCATTGTTATTTTGCACCAGTGTGCTGTATACACTGAAGGCCTGTAATCTAGAAGCTGGGGTCATGTCCTCCTAACCAACCCCCCCAGCCAGTCCTCCCTCCTGCGCGACTGCACTTCCGGCCTCAGCTTGGTTTCTGTACCCACCCGAAATACTTCCTCCACTGAAAATGACAAGGGTGTCACAGAAGGCATATTTTAAATGAGCAGGTTGCAGAAATGAGAAGGGCGCTGTGGTCAGCATGAGCTCTGCCAGACTTGCCTTCCCATCGTAATCTGAAGCAGACAGCATCGTAGAAGGTGCTGAGCCTTCAGTGACTCGCGTTCCCAGCAGGTTTGCAGGTCCATGAGAACCGCACACAGACCACCTGGCTCAGTGTGCCACTCAGTGGCCAAGTGCTTGCCTAGCATGCACAAGGGCCCAGTGCTGCAAAAATAAATAGATAAACAAATGCAGTCCAGAACTCCTAGGACGAAATGCTCATTTGACCGAAGCTAGAAGAGATGTGAAATGTGTAAGGGGTTTTGTTAAGAATGCATTGAGCTTTTTTCATTTTGGAAGCAAATTAGGATGACAGTGTCCCTGATCTTCTATGACCAATGTAGTTTCAAATCTTGGGTAGAGTGTGGCAGTTAATCTCAGAGACAGGCTTTTGGGTCTCCTGCCTTTTGTATCACTGTTCTGGGTGAGATTGATATCTATTGATAGATGGCTACAGGTGTCAGTGATAGATGTCTATCAGTCTGAACTTTTTGTGTGTGTGTGTGTAGAACTGGGGATTGAACTCAGGCCCTTTTGCTTGCCAGGAAAGTGTTTATTCTACTGAACCATCTCCCCAGACCCAGTCTGAACATTTGTATAAAACCATCCTGTCAAAAGATTCATATTTGTTTGCCTTGAGGTAAAACAGACAAGTCTGAGCAATGGTTAAGAAGCTCTGTGAATCAGAACCTCTGTGCCAGGTATGGTAGCACTTCTCAGGGCTCTTCGTGTATCCCACAGTGGGCACCATGAGCTTACTGGGCTGGCTTGGTCTGCAATGGGATTTACACGCAGGGCACAGTTACACAAAGCAGACTTTTACACACAGTAAGTCATGCTCTGATTCTGGAGCCCAGGGGGCCATGGAGCTCAGGGAGTGCTCAGAAGAGCAGCTGGTGGCTTGGAGTTCTGTTCAAGATGAGTTCGGAAAACATCTGGGCTATAAGAACTGTCTAGAAATGGATTCTCAGCCTCGCCAAGCAGAGAATCCCATTACTGGTAACGATTTGCTGTGTATACTGGCCACAGAGGGTACAAGCCATCCTTTACGCAGTCCTAGGTCTTCTGTAAAAGTAGTGATTTGGAGCATCAAGAGTCACCAGGGAGAACCGGGAGGCTCTCCTCTTCCAGTGGAGGTCAGGCGAGCCCCACATCCCCTGGCTTCTCTTTCTTCATCTGTAAGAATGAGAAAGTCCAAACCTGCAGGCATTCCTCCTTGCTAGAGACAAGCTCTGGAAAGGAACATGTTCTGCCAGACATGTGGGTGGGCTTGGGTGTACCCAGGGTAAAATGCAAGCAGTCTGTCTGCCAAAATATGAAACCACATCAGGCATGGATACCAGAGAATGCTTGTAGGAGCCTTTACCCTACACACATTCCTCTCAGATGGCTGACAGTACCAAATATAGGCACTGCTAGTGAAGGCATGCCTGCCATTTTAAATAAAATGAAGCCCCATCTTTGGGATTCTTCCCACCTCCCATCTCCTCCTGCTGCTGCCTCTGTACCCTCCTAGACTGATCACCCTATCATCTTTTGTCAGCCAAAACGTAGATGTGTTTGCATGTAACAGCACTATCAAAAGGCATGAGAAACACAGAATTGCATGTGCTAAATCTTTCTTTTTTTAAATGTCTAGAAGAGGGCTGGGGACATAGCCCAGCAGCACAAGTGCCTGCCTGTCAGGTACAAGGTCCTGAGTTTGATTCCAAATAAATAAATACATAAATAAATAAATAAATAAAATGTCTAGAAGGAGACAGCGCAGTCATGATACCACAGGATGTGTGCAGGATGCGACGGACAAAGGAGAGACTAGAAAGAGGAGGCTGTGCTACAGCGCACTGCCCTCTGCTGGACAGTGGCCTTCAGGGCCTCATGGGAGCCTAACATGGCGTGTGTGTGTGTGTGTGTGTGTGTGTGTGTGTGTGTGTTTAGTACAGGGTCTACAGAATCTCACTACACAGATTGGACTCGTAGCAATCCTCCTGTTTTCAGCCTCCCGAGCGCACAGACGGAGTGCCACCACACCCAGTCTCCATTGCAGTCTTAGTGCACCTCGAGAATCGAACCCTGGCCTCTGCACTAACATGGCTTTTGTCATCACGTTCATCTCTCTCTGCCACCTTTGACCCTCTGTGCACATCTCACCCATTAAATGCTTTGCTTCTAGAAGGCTGAGATGAAGACTAGTTCCCAGCAGCATGCCTAGAATCCAACTGTCAACTTGGTGAACGTGGCGGGACATCTTTTAAATTAACTCTTGGGTATTCTGTGGATAAGAAGAATGCACTTCAAGGTTTGTGACACTGACACTCAGAGACACAACCTCTCACAGAAAGGAATAGAACTGATGCAGAGGCCACACTTCTGTCTGTGTCTTGTGCTCTCCCAACGGGAGAAGAAAGTGAACCGTGTGATCTGCAGTTTAGCTGGCTCTGCTTTTCACTTTTCTGTCTTCCTGGAACAGTCTCAGCAAAATGCAGAGCTCCGGATGCCCCAGATTTTAACCCTTGCTTGGGAATTTCACTTGGTTGTTCTTTTGGGTTAGTCAGTTATTTTTATGCTGCTTATTATTTGCGATACCAAATACTTATTTTGTCCATAATTCTTTCTAGATCTGGATAAAAACTTCAGTCTAGCAAAGCTTGAAGGGGAGACATCCTGGCTAGACTTTTCATACTGTACAAATAATGTCCAAATAACTTCCAAATAATGCTCTGACTCAAGCTCAGAATACTGTTATGAGCACGAGCAGCTCAAGTTAAGATGAGTTGATTTCACTGTGTAAGAGAGAGGACTCAAGGATCTCGGCAGCATCTCTGGCCCCAGGGGCTGCAACAACGCCCTTGGGTTGAGTTTTGTTGAAGGGGCAGAGCTAGGGGCTGGACCGGAAGAAGGACGCTGCATGCTTGAGGTGCCCTGTTCCATGTGGACTGTGGTGCTTTTCCCTCTAAGTACGTGTGTCCTTATTTTTAAATTTCTCTAAAGTCAGCATATAGTGCTTCAAAAGGTGAAAGAGCATGAGCCATGTGCTTCCTTAAGGGCCTGCAAGGGGTTTTAGGAGGCCACAGAAAGGTCTTGGCTGTGAGACCCAAGTAGCACTGGTGGAAAGAAAGGGCCCAGTCTTCACCAACATAGAGTACACATTAACCAACCCCACTCTGGGCAGGTGCTGCAGGTCCCGGGGTACTGGCGTCTCACCCCAGGCTGCATGTGGCAAGACTGGGTGTGTGGCTTCTGCTCAAGGCCACACACTCCAGCATCCTCATCTGGACAAAGCAGAGGCAACTGGTCTAAACAGAACCCCAGTCAAGAAACTTTGTTCCCAAGAGCAAACTTAAAATGATTTTAGAACATAAACGGAATCAGACTAAGTCATGTACACGTGCCCAGTCCCCCAGACTAAGCCATGTACACGCGCCCAGTCCCCCAGACTAAGCCATGTACACGCGCCCATGACATGCCCATGATGCATGTCAACATTGTGGACTATAATAAAACCAGTTTTAATAAAGCAAACTTAGTAGAAAAATAAAAGAATTATAAATAGGATTTTCTTAGTCTCAAGGGACCTCAGTGTACTTGAGGGCGACAGTTTTGTGGAGTGTCCCCAGGGCTGTGCCATTTGGCTTGGGAGGCTTTCTGAAGGTCTTCTGAGGGCTCACTGGGCTTCTCAGATAGTTGGCTCCTCTGTGTCTTTCTGCAGGCTTATTTTAGAAAACCCATCAGGAGGCCCAGTGAGTATGTGGGAGAGCTTCTCACTACCCTACGCCTGAGGGACCTGTCTGGTCCAAACCCAGGCGCAACATGAGTGAGACCCTCTTCTGCACCCTTGGGACCCCTCGCCACTCTACAGGACCCCCCCACTCTGCAGCCACCCCCCACCCCCCACCCGCTGAGTGAGAACTTCTGCCACGTTCTTAGAATCCCCAGATTCAGCCCTAGACCAGGCATGGTGAGTGTGTGAGAGAGCTTCCCCTTTTCCCTATTTCCCCTTGTCTCCTTCAGACTCAGCTCAGGCCTGGCATACAGGCCTGGGGTGAAACTCTGCAGCTGCAGTCCCTGCAGAGAGAGTAGGGGACAGAATAACCCAGCTAGTCCAGGAGTAGTACATCTTGCCAGAGGGGCACAACAGGTTCACCCCCAAGGGCAGCAGCAGGAAGGAGCTGAGCACAGCAGCCAGACCCAAGCCAAGCACAACTGGATAAATCCAAACTTTGTAGATCTGCACCTGAATTTCAGTAGGTGCTAAGGTTATAACTGCAACAAAGATCTACAACAAAGGTCAGAAGACAGTGCTATACAAAATGACAATGGGAAGGAGCAAAATGCAATCTCAGACCCCAAGCCCA